CATACTCTCACACAACAGGAGGTATGGTAGTCTTCAGGAAATAGTTACTGAAAATAAGTGTCTATTTTTAAAATGACAACTATCTAAGATAATGATCTTACAATTCCATTTATATAGAGATACTCATCTGAGCAGGAATACAAGAAAAAGCATAACAGATAAAAAATTAGCAAATACATTACATCATTACTCCAGAACAGCTAGCGTGATACCCCAATGTCCTTGTCTCCACTCTCCCAAAGTATCAAAGGTGAGTTATATTTCCTACTAACATTAGGAAGTAAAACTATGATTCCTACAATCACTAAGGAATTTTAGCAGCTATTTTAAAGTATTTTCCAGCCTAAGCAAAGATACCTTTTATAAGTTGTCTATATATAGAAAGAGAAGTATGAAAGCGTAAGTGAATAAACACAGCACATACACTTAACTTTACAAATGATTTTGTCAGCTTTCAGCGAATTTACTTTGAAAGTTTTTAAGAAGACATCAATTACTATCCTTACCTCAAATAATCAGTAAAATTTTAAATGTTATAATTAACATTAAGAATAAATGTTTTTCTTCCTCATCTCAGAAGACCAAGGGAGAAATAACACAATTACAAGCCACATTATAGAGTATGAGGCTTTCCAGACCAAGCCTAATTTAGTTCTCTGAAATTAATGGTATATTTAGAGAAGATGTAGATAAAGATGCTAAAAGACCCTATCTAACTAAATACAGTCCTGTCCTCGCCTCCTCAATCTCCAGTCACTAAGAATATGTGAAAGTTTTCTACAAATACATATTGGAATATTTTCAAGAGTAAAAGAACAAAACAGTTATGACAGTTATGTTCAGAAGACAGTCCATGAACCTGAAAAGTGAAGTTTCCCCCAAATATTTGTTCCATACTCATTCATTAAATTCAAATGGTGTCAATAAGCAGATGCCCCCTCATTTGTAAGTCAGAGAAGTAAACACTTATATATAGTTAATTAATGACCCAAACCTTGCACTAAAGCAAAAGTCCACCAAACTCAAGGTAAAAACAGCCACTGTCCACTTACTATCACTGTACTGCAGAGAAACGAAAAATGTTTCAAGGGATTTTTAAAAGATTTCTAACAGAATGATTTTTTTTTAACATTCAACATTATAATGATAATGTCTTTTATAAAATAAAGTTGCTCAGTGAAAGTCTCTTCAAAGACATAATGTTTAAAGAGGGACAGAAATTATCACCCTCTACTATCCAGCTGTTAACTAACTCTTCCCATTTTCGATGAAGAGCAACAGTAACGCTCCTCATTTAGTAAGCATCTCAAGTTTATATTGCCAGGCCAGCCAAGTACCATCAGTAAATGTAGCAAGTGGGTGGGAACTACAAGCTACACGTAAGAGGTTCCTGCAGCTGCTACTAGACTCCATCTCTCCATCTTATTATTGCTAGGACAAATGCGGGCCTAGTGCTACCAGATCTTCCAAATTTTCCTAAGAAAAGCCAGAAATCCAAATCATGCAAAAATTTCCATTTTTAAATGTTGGCAATTAAGAAATAAGAAAACCACAGTGCAGGCCAAATTCAAAGTACCTACAAACTGAATCTGGCCTTTCAGTATGCAACGACTGCTAACTACACAGCAATAATAACCCAAGGAACAGAAGCATCAGTAAGAATCTCAAATGTCTGACTCCCAAACCCTAAACTCCTCAGGACTATTACTCAGATTTCATGTTGAAGATGGATTCTCCGTGTAGTCAAGAACACTGGTGGTAATCCTTCTCTCTTGAAGACTAATTTTTGACTAATAATAATTTTTAAAAAACTATGGCTTTTACTATTTTAAAGTATACATTTTAAGAAAAAAATCAAAACAATGAACACTGAGGTGGTGAAATCAGAATATTAGTAAAATTAATAAAATTAGAATTATAATATGTAGAAAATGTATACTTATTTAAAAATACTATAACGCTTTACAAACTGTGTTAGTTGGGTAAATGTCTATCAGCTGGGTCCCCAGAAAGCAACCAATCATTTGAGCTCCCTTCTCATCTCTTTATGAGACATCAAGAATGGGTAGTCCTGATGGGCCACTTTTACTTTAGCAACATGAAAATAAAAAACAAATGAAGAGGGGGAAGAAGTGACAACAATGTTAATTGGCAAGGTATTTCTGTTTTATAATAATTTCAAGTGCCAAAAGATCCTAAGACTCAATACAATTTTCTTTACTGCTTTAGCTCTAAGTAGATTAGATAGCTAAAAAGGATAAACTAGCAAGACCTTCTATTTAGAAATAAAATCTGCTGGATTAAAAAAGAAACGCTAAGTGGGGCAGCACCCAAAGATTTAACCTTATGATTTAACCTTAAAAGGATCGTTTCTCAAAATTTCCAAAAAAAATTTTTTAAGAAAAAAAAAAAGCTTTATAGTCATACTCAGAGTTCTCAGTTAATTTGGAAGGCTACCCCCACATATTTTGATGACATACTTAAAAAAAAAAAATCCTTAAGAACAACATAGCAGAGTTTAAGGAAAAAGGGCAGCTTGACTTTATCAGAACTTGACAGCTGTGTGATTTTAAGCAAGTTATTTAACTACTCTGGGCACTATCCCCTGATCTATAAAAAAGGATAAACCATAGCTACTTTAATTCTCATGATGAGAATTGTGATACATCTTAAATGTATTTTAATTCATTCTCTTAGCTGAAACTTGAATCTGTACCACAACATCAGTACTTTAAAATATTCCTGGCAGAACAGCTACACACAGATGAGAGAACTCAACACTTCTTGAAGCAGCCCTTTTCATCCTCACACTTCTATCATTTTCTTTTACTAAACTAAAATCAGCTTCCTAGTTACTTCAACCCCATCAATCACATTCTAGTTTAAATCTTATTAAGTATAGCTAATTCAATTCTCACTAAACTCCAACCTCCATAAGGATTGAGACTGTTCAGTATTGAAAGCCCAGCACCTAGAACAATGATAAGCACATAGCAGGTGTACAATAAATATTTACAGATTGAGTGATATGTTCTGTACAGTATTTACTGATTGACCATTGAAATGCCTTCGAATATAAAGAGCACAAGTGTGTATACTTCTGGAGGTGATCATTTAATGTTTAAGGTTTAAAAGTTGAAATATCATACATAACCAAACACACACATGCTATGTTTTCAAAAATCCCTTTGGATACAGTAAATAAAGGCAATTTTGCTACATTTTAAACGATGATGCTGTTCAATGACACAGATGATAAAGTTCCTTCAAAGCAATAAACCTATTAATGGCTCCATAACTTCTAATCATAATTTCCTTCAGATTTAACTGAATTCCAAGTCTACATTAAAAAAAAAAACACCTCAAAATGACATGTACCCTCACTACCACTGGCTATCCTACAAATAACCCCCAAATAATAACTTAGTCAAGTTTTATCACCTGAAAGTTACCCAGAAAACATCAGAATTGAAATTGTGATAGAATTATCAAAATCTGTAACAACTTTCTCTCATGACTTTCTTAGCCACACACTGCTATAAACACCTCACTGCTTAAACACTAGAACTCATTTATAATTTAGTCACTTATATTTCAGAGCTGAAAGAGTAGGTTTCATAAAGTTATGTTCCACTTCACAGAACAGGAAATCAAACAGTGGATGACCAGTTCACCATCCTCTGCAAATCTATGGAAATATTTCCATTATAAATTTCTCCTGCCACCTGACGGTTTTAAGCTGTCACTCTGTGATATTAGCGTAAACAAAACACAATTAGTAAGGTAAATCTGCCACATAACACAAGTCAATACTCCACCCCAAACCCAAACATCAAATATTCCTGAATTATTTGGGTCACTGATGCTTGAAACTGTGGTAGAAAATCAGTGATCTAGAAACATGTAACTTCCACTAAAGGAAACTAGGTAAGGCAAATACCAGATTTACATAATTTTATGTAACGAACAAAATCTAAAAGGGTCAAACATTTTAATGAACACAAAATTAAAGGAGGACAGAAAGTAAAATTAAAAATTCATGTTTTGTAAGAAATAGCCATACATGACCCTTTCAACACCGACAAGCCTTCCCAGACCAAAGTGGATGAAGCCTCTAGCCCTACAAAACTTTCTTTCCCCTTCCACTTCTATGATATTAAAAAAAAAAACAACCCAAACCCTTGTACATTAATCAAAATAGTATACTACAGAAAATCAAACCGCCTGATATAGGGAGACTTTTAAACAGTTAAAATCACTACCAATCTTTAAAATACTATCTGCAGGGCCATTTCGGGTACTGTGGGAGGAACTCAGAGCCACGAAGAGCTGAAACGTGAGGGGCAGTCTGCGTCTGTGCTATAGAACCCACCCCCAAAGGGCAGATGACATGAACACAGAATGTACAGAGAACTACAACACGCACAGGCTCCCAACTCGTTACCAATTTGCAGTGGAAGAGTATTCCTTTCCAACAGACACTCCCTCTACCCTGAAAGTTGCCGAAGCAGCACAGCAAAACGGGCCTGCAGTTGCAAAACACAACAGCCCTGGGCTACCAGCACACTCTTCACGCCAGTACTTTGTGTCCAGGAACAATTTCTCAACGTGGCCAAGGTGATGCAGCAAAGCTGCCCTCAATGCAGCAACCACGGATAGGAGTAGTTTCTCAACAGTCCCAGAGCCATCCCGGGGAGGCGGGTGGACTTCCCTTCCATCTTCAATATGCTGCTTCGACCCATGCTGACAGCACCTTGGATGCCCAAGAACACACGAAGAGGTTTCTAGCTCCCATTAAGGCCCTTCGGAAGCAAAGAACGTAGGCGCTACCTGCCTTTATCTAGGGCCCTGTCCAGGGCTGGGAAGAGCCCTGGAAAGCGGGGACTGGGATTCAGTCGTTGCCCTTCCCATCCACGCAGGCGGCAGCGTGCCTCCAGGCCCGGGGTCCCAGCAGCCAGGCCCCCGCGGCCTGGCGACCCTTCCCCCCACGCTCCTCTCACCTGATCTTGTAACTCGGGAGGGTGTGCTTGCGCTTGATCACTTTCTTGAGCTGGTTGACGATGATGGAGGTCAGCTGGGGCATGGGCCGCCCTTCGAACTGGGAGCGCACCTCGAAGTCGATCAGCGGGTCCTCCACGAAGGAGAAGAACCAGTGGGTGAAGGGCACGCGGGTGAGGACGAAGCGCAGCCTCCCCACCACCCGGGACAGTTTGACGAACAGGTAGGCGGACTTGCCGAAGACCAAGTCCACGTCGATGGCCAGGTGGAAGCCCCCGCTGTACTCCACCTCCGCCTCGAAGGCCAGCTCCTCGGGGGAGGTGGCGGGCAGCGCCTCCCCCTCAGGAACGTCGGGCTCCCCGGTGGCCGAGGGCACCACGGGCCGGAGGAGCCGGATGGTCTTGATGAAGGGCACGGTGTCGCCCAGGAACACGTCCCGCAGGCTCAGCCCCTCCAGGAGGCGCCCGGCCGTCTTGGTCTGCAGCAGCTCCTCGAACTCCACCTTGATCTTCTTGGTGACCCAGCGGCGGGCCAGCGCGGTGTCCCGCAGCTCCCGGAACAGGAACAGGATGGTGGCGTTTAGGAAGTAGCAGGTCTCCCGCGTCGGCGGGGCGGGGGTCTCGGGGGCCGGAGTCGTGCCGCCCTCGGGTGGCCCGCCGGAGGGCTCCTCAGCCCCGCCGCCGCCATAAAGGTACTCTCTCAGGGCCAGGTCCGGCACCGGCTTGATGTAGCGGAAGCCGTCGGCCGCGCGGGCGGCCTCGTCCGGCGGCGGCTCGGGCTGTTTGCGGTAAAGCAGCAGGAACTGGGTGAGCAGCGTGAGTAAGGAGCCCAGCACGGCGGACGCCAGGATCATAAGCAGCAGCCCCATCCCGCCACCGCCTCCGCCCGGAGCGCCCGCGCCCTGGCCCCCGCGCCCACAGCGCGGCTTTCTTCACGGCGCCCTCCGCCCTACCTCCATCTTGAGGACATCGGGCGGCGGGGTTTGGGCGAGCGGCTCCCTGGGCCTCGTCCAGGGGCTCCGGACGGCGCACTGCAGCGCCCCAGCCTGCGGCGGCCCGCGCCTCCTCAGAAGCTCCCGGAGGCTGCTGCTGTGGTGGCGGCAGCGGGGGCGGGAGGGAGCGGAACGGCGCCTTCCTCTGGCCGCCGCTCATTGGACGAACGGCGAGTGACGTCAGGAGCGTACTCGCTCCCGGCGGCGTCGCCTGGCAGCCGGCGCCCGGGCACGCGTACGCGGGTCCTTCTTCACCTCTCGGGCGCCCTTCCAACCCCGCCCCCACGCCAACATTCCAGTCCCCCGCGATACACGTGGCTGTCACTTCTGAAGCCGCTGCGCGGATCTGGGAGGATAACTGGGGCCACCGGTTGGAGGATAAGGAGGCCGGGCGGAGATGTCGTGGCGGCGCGTTCTTGACTCCGGTCATCCCGTTATCTTCTAATGCGCCCATCCCCCCTCATTGGCCGCGGTCCCTGTTACCCCTGCTGCAGTGTGATTCTTCTACTCCCGTCCCTGAGAATGGGCTGGCGGCTTTCCCTGCCGGGCAGCGCCGCAAAAGATCTGAGTTGGCCGTTCGGAGACTTCCCAAGCCGAGGACAAGATTGCACTGCCTCTGAGACCGCGGTCGCCGACCATCAATCTGACCAGCAGACGCTCTGCGTTCGCGGAGGGTGGGCCCTGGGAAGGAGGGACAGAGAAAAAAGGAGTCAGATGCGGACTAACTTTACTACCTAGGCGGATATTTGAGATTTAAACGAGAAGGACATAAAAAAAAAGAGCCGGTTTGAGGAATGATGAGTGGGATGAACTTGCCAGATGATTGGAAGATAAATAGTCACTGTCAAGCTATCGCAGTGCGTTAAGCCCCTGAGTGTATTACCACATTTAGTTCATTTAAGAGACAGTTATAGTTAGCCACCACCCATTTTACAGATGCAAACACTGGCGCAGAGAGGCAAAGGATGTTGCTTAGGGTCACACAATGGTGCCTGATTTTGTCTAAAACTAAACCCTAAGTCCTTGGTCACTACTCAGTACTAGGATACCAAGATTGCTAGAGTTGGAAGGGGGCTTATTGGTTCCATGGTGCACAGGAAGGGGGAGTTAGAAAGGGGGGGGTGTGAGGAAAGACTTAAAGGAATTTTGCACAAGGTAGCACCTTGACCAAAGCCATAGAGTTAATGAAGCCAGGTTGCCCAGGAACAATGTTATCCTCCTGCCATCTGGTTACCTCACAAATGCTTATGTGCTCCAACCACATGGACAACACAAAGATCCACCCCTAGTCCCACAAGGGTCAGATATTCCATACCTAAAAATCAGGTTGGTTCTGGCTGGCCTTAAGGGGCCAGGGCAGGGCTCCTCTTTAGCTCTGGAAGATCCCCAAGCCAGTGACAGTCCTGAGTCTGGGTGATTCTAGAACAAAAAACAGAATTCTGACCCAACTGGAGCAGGTATAGAACTTTGGAACCAAGCCGTTCTCATCTTACTTACTCATCCCCAGGTGTGAGACCAGAATGGCTCCTTTGCTGCAAAAATGTTAGCCTGCTGAGAGAGCCAGGCTCAAAACCATATTCCACATCCTATCGAAGTCCAGAGCCCTGCCGGGATATCTGGGAGCTCCAGGCAGCTTCTTTTCTTGTGATCATCTCTGGGCTTCTATCTCAGTTCTACACTGTTTCAACCCAAATGGGAAATGTAGACCCTTAATATCCACCAAAAACCTTGTTTATAATACTCCTGCACCATTGTAATAAATGTCACAGAAGCTGGAGGTGGGGTGGAAGATTATCTGAGTAATTTTCACAGCACTGAGATGCAATATCCTCAAATTGTGTATTAATCCATTCTGCATCTTAAAATATTCTTCAACTACCTCCTTCCCCCACAAGGAAAGTTGGTGATTTTCCTGGGAGTGAGTTCTCAGTCTCACACTCCATCTTGCAGGCTTCTCCCTTTTCTGCCCTCCTCCTACCTCATTAGTAACAGAACTCCCACTTGACATCATGAATGTTAATGCATTGAGATAAAAGACACTTATTCCCCAATCTCTCTTACATCTGGATGTGTCAGTGTTACTGGTTTCTGATATGTAAGAAGTTTTGTAGGACCTTCTGGAAGTCTCTTAAAGGGGACTGACTCAGCTGGAAGCTACACCATTTTACTTTCCTCTCTTTGTTCCTCCTTCCAGCTGTCTGGAATGCAGTCATGATTTCTGGGGCTCCAGCAGCTACTTTGGATCTTGAAGTAACTTTGACAATGGAAGCCATATGCTAAAGATGGCAAAGTAGACAGATATGCCTGGATCCCTGATGACTTCTTGGAGCTACCACAACAGCCCTGGATTTTCTGTTATATTTGGTCAAACCTAATCTTAACTGTTTCATCCAATAACCATCCTTCCCAAGTTGCCCCCTCCTCTATGTTCCCTACCATTCACCCACTTGTCCAAACTGCTTGCCCTCCTTACTCCCCCTCATCATTTTAATTCTGTCTTCTTAGTATATCTCAAGTGTGTCCTCACTTCTCTAGCCCTATCACCAGGCCCTTATTTCAGGCCCTCTTCTTTCCTCTTGCAATGACTTTAGTTCTTCGTTATCTCCTACCTAGTCACTCTGTCTGTCTTGCCTCCTGTGATCATTCTACACACTGTTGCTACAATGATCTTTCTCCAGTACACAACTGATCTTGTCACCTTGTAGCTAAAAGTTCTTCAGTGGCTCCCCACAGCCATATTCATAATAATGGCTATCATGCATCAAGAGCATAGTAAATGGGAAGCATTGTGCTAAGCACTTGAGAAGCATTTACACTCCCACAATTGTCCTTTACGGTAAGTACTATCATCTCCAGTTTATGGATGAGGAAACAGACACTTAATGCAGATAAATAACCTGCCAAAAGTCACTAAGTTAATAAGTGGAGGAGTGGAGATTTGAATAAACTCTGTCTAACCCCAAGGCCTCTCATTTTAGGTCAATATTCCTTTAGGATACAGTCCAAACTCATTAGCATCCTTTGTGAGTTTGCCTTTGCTTACACTTCAGCTTCTTCTCTCACTACTCCAGATGTAGATTTTGAAGATTTTTTTTCCTATCTTTATATTTTTAGGTCCTTGTTGTTTATCTATTTTATATATAGTAGTGTGTATATGTTAATTCCAAACTCCTAATTTCTCTCTCCCCTGCCCCTCCACTATCCCCTTAGGTAACCATGTTTGTTCTCTATGCCTGTGAGTCTGTTTCTGTTTTGTAAGTAAGTTCATTTGCACCATTTTTTTAGATTCCACATATAAGTGCTATCATATGATATTTGTCTTTGGCTTACTTAACTTAGTATGATAATCTTTACGTCTGTCTATGTTGCAAATGTCATTATTTCATTATTTTTTATGGCTGAGTAATATTCCATTGTATATGTATAACACATCTTCTTTATCCATTCATCAGTTGATGGATGAAGATATTATTGATGAATTTGCTTTCATTAAAGCCAGAAAGTAAAATTATAATAAACGCTGTTTGGGGTACAAACAAAATATTTAAACTTAATGTGAACTTTAATATATATACTTTTCAAATTTACTATATTTTTTCAACTAATGTTCTGGAATAAACTAGCCATTAAAATATATTAAAAGGTATATACAGGGATTCACATGTTGACTGAAGAAAGACACACAACCTAAAAGTTGCAAGTTATGTTTTATTTGGGAAACTTACTGAGGACTATAGCCTGGGAGACAGCCTCTCAGATAGCTCTGAGGAACTGCTCCAAAGAGGAAAGGGAAGAGCCCAGATGAATAGGAATTTTTGCTGAAGACGAAACAAAACATGTAGTCAAACATCAAACGATTACTGCTAGTCATGGAAAACAGACATCTGGAGTTAATGATTTTAGTGCTTTTCTGTGTATGGGAAGATGCAAGAGTCTGGGTTCATTGAAGTTATTCCTTAGATATGAATCTTAATTGTCTAGGGCCAGTATCCTGTTTTTCTCCACCCTGAATTTTCCTCAGGGCACACTGCAGGGGTTAGCTGCAGTGCCTGATGACTTGATGGTGGGCAACATTCTTTGTTTATGGAAATGGCAGGCAACATTTTTTTGTCCACCCACATTTGTCCTTTTGCCTCAGGCTCTGGTATTTCTTGGCATGGCACTGTCAGATCCTGTCTTTATTTAAAATCTTGATGTTTTGTTTATCATAGATAACATTTTAGTTTTTAGATGTTGCATTAAATGTTACTTATCTTGTTGATTAGTTTTTTTGGTGCCCCTTCAAATTTTCTGCCCAAGGTGAGAACCTCACTCACCTCACCCTAATCCTGGCCCTGCTCTTCAGCCATATGGGCCTGTTTGCAGACTCCTAAACACACAGTTATCTATCTTACTTCCTTTATTTTTGTCAGTCTTGCCTAGCACATGGTGGGTACTCCATAAATATTTGTGGATGTGAATGAATGCTTTTCCTTCTGACCTTAACCCTTTGGTTCCCCTGCCCATTGTCTGAATAACTCCTACTTGGGTTTTTTTTAAGACTGAACAGAAGGGTCACCTCTACCAGGAATTTTCCCTGACTGTTCACACCCCTGTCCCTCCTGACCTCCTCTAAGTCTGGATTAGGAGCTTTTCCATTGTCCTCAGTGCAGTTTGAGGTCACCTTGGAAACAGCATTTCTTATCATGTTCTGAGATTCCCTGTTACTTGCTCGGAATCACGAGTCCACTTGTGAGCTTCTCAAGAGCAAAGACCATGGCTTTTTTGTCTCTGTATCCTCAGCCCGCAAAGCACATACTAGGAAGCATGCTCATAGGATGAATGGATGGCTGAATGGATGGAGAGATGGTAGAGTGAGATCTGCTTTAAGATATAACTGGTAGCAAATTGCAAGTGGAGTCTGTATGGAGGGAGAGTGAGATTTGTGAAGAAGTTTTGCCAGAATCCAGACAAAAGTTGATCAGGGATTAGACTAAGGCAGTAGGTTGGGCTTACGAGACATTTTAGAGGAAAAAAATCAATGGAATTGGTTTGAAATTAAGTGCATGGAGAAGAACTCAAAGGCAACTGAGGTTTTATAATTGAGTGAGTAGGGAGATGGGGGTTCCATAAACAAAGACAGGCAAC